GGTGGGGGAGGGTCCGGCTCCCGCGACACCGCCCCCTCCACCGCGTAGCCACCTCTGCAGGTGGGGGTCGCGGTCGCTGGGCTGCGTCCTCCCCACCTGGCGGCGGGGCGGCCTGCGCGCCGAGCCCCCTCCCTGCGAGGGCGGGGCGAGGGGCCCGCGTCTCCCCGGGGCCTCCCCACGAGGCTGGGAGTGAGAAAACTCGGCTCCTGCAAGACCTTCTGGAATCCATTAAGCGGCTGGGGCCTTGAGCCTGAACAAATGCCACGTTTTAACGGAACTTCCTGCCGGGATCGGAGCCTCCGTCGGCAGCTCGCTGCCCGGCGTGAAGCGCTTGCCTGCCCCGGCCCAGACGTTCAGCCCAAGGGTTCTCTCTTTGTGACAGGTCCCTGCCTGTAGGCACTGGTGACCACACAGAAGTCCCCGAGAGAGTTAGAAGAAGGCGGCTGTAGTCTGGTTCTAAACTAGGCCCGAATCTTTACTGGGCTTGTGGAGGCAGGGGGTGGCCCCAAAGTTTCTTTGTCTTCATCCTCTAGGAAAGATGGCGAGTGTCCGTCCTCTGCCTCCTAGGGAGAAGTGCTCAGTGCTGCCTGGTCTGCAGGAGGCCTGTTTGTTTGATGGGTCTGGTTAGGCTGGAGAGGCCAGACGGGGCCTTAAATGTTGGAACGCAGCTTAAGTGCTGCTTGTCAGAGGGAACCCGGCCTTGGGGACACAGGCATTCCAGACTCGGGAATGTCTCTTCGAGCGTAGTGCCGGAGTTCTCGGGTAGGCAGGCCGCACTGCTCCAGGAGCTGGTGCAGTGTCACGAGATGTGCGTGCACGTGTGCCCTTGCCACTTAGTCTCGTTTGACTTGAGATCCCAGTTGGAGAAACAGGCCAGAGTAGTCCCGGGTCCTCAGCAGGAGTTACGTTCAGGTGGGCGAGGAGCTGCTTCTGGCCCAGCTCTGCCCGACACCTGAGAAGGACACCTGAGAGGGAGCGACTTGCTGGGGCTCTTCAAGCCCTGCTGTGGGGTGGGGACCCTTGGTAGACGCAGAAGCTGGTGGCGTGGGCCGGTTCTGAGCCCCTTCTCGTTGCTTCTCTGACACCTCCGGCTGGTTGTGGGTGAGAGGGCGGAGGCGACCGTCAGCCTGTTGGCCTCTCTCCTAAAAAGGCAGACTCCCCGGGTGCTGCGTCCTGAGGTTTCAATGGCCGTCGGGGGCCTTTACTCGGCTGAGTCACACGGGGACGGAGGCTCTCTGCAGAGCGGACCCCGTCCCGCGGGCAGTGGGCCTTCCGTGTTCGCACCCAAGGACGTCCTGCTTCACGAGACTGCCAGGCTTGCACGTCGTTCCCTGTCGTCTGAGACCTAGAACTTTCTGGAGTTTTGCCGACTGGGCTCTTGTAGGCGTTTTCCATGGGAAAGGGTTGGAGTAGTTGAAATACAGAAATTGGAGCCGAGGCCACTTACCTGTTGGGACACGCGGGGGCTGCGGGAGAAGAGGGTTGGTAGAAGGCCCTTGGCCGAGGACGACGGCGTAACGGTTTTTCTCCACTCTAAGTGAGGTCCTTCGGTACTGAAGACCGTCCCACAGACAGGCCTGCGCCTCCGAGAGAGGAGATTTACGAGTACATCATTTTCCGGGGAAGTGACATCAAGGACATCACCGTGTGTGAGCCCCCGAAAGCTCAGCACACACTCCCTCAGGACCCCGCGATCGTCCAAGTAAGTGTGGGGCTGTGCTGCTGTGCGGGCACGCTCCTGGGAGCTGCTGCTTTCAGTGGGTGTCGGTGTCATCCGTGTGGCTGGGGAGCTCAACTCGGGAGGGGCCTTTCCGTGGGAAGTTGTTAATCTTCGTCTGGGCCGTCAGTGTTGTGGAGGCTTAATTCCCGTAGCAGCAGCGTGTTCTAGAGAGTGAGGCCAGGGTGTGTGTGTGCATGTCTGTGTGTGAGAGGCGGGGAGGAAGAATGTGTGGGTGCTGGGGGAGTCGTGTCTGGCCTTAGTTTCTGGCCAGTCTCAGTCCCAGTGGCACGATGTGATTGGCGTAAGATGCTCGCAGGGGGACGGCAGGACCTGCTCTCTTGGCTCTGCCGGGATGCTTAGTTGCAGTGCTGTGGTGTCGCGCTGTGTCTTGGCTAGGTTCACCAGGGAGCCCGGGCTAGCGTCCTCCGGACTTGGGACTTCCGTACTCATGGGCTCCTGGGCAGCTCATCCTGGGGCCGAACATGCCATGGGTGGGCTCCAGGGCACAGGCAGCAGTGCACCTGAGGGCACAGCAGCAGAGGGAGGAGGGAGGCCTGGGGAGCTGCAGGTAGTTCAGGGCAAAGCCAAGGATAGCATCTCTGTCCCCTTAAAAAGCCTAGACCACCTGATGGGAGGCAGTGGGGAGCCATTGGACGGCTTGAGTTAGGAGAAGGTCATGAGAATTACCTGGACAGGTGGGGCTGGCGACGAACTGTGGGAAAGGCGGCTTCGAGCCCACTGAGTGCTGCCAGGCCTCCAGGCACGCAGGCTGGCGGCTCCGCTGCCGTTCCCATTCTGGCAGTGCTCCCCAGGCTCAGGGCGACGGGAGGGCCTTGCACTGCTCTCACCTGTGTGTCTCCTCGCTCAGTCTTCCCTGGGCTCGGCCTCCTCCTTCCAGCCACACGTGCCTTACAGCCCCTTCAGAGGGATGCCGCCCTACAGCCAGCTGGCCGCCAGCTCCCTGCTTAGCCAGCAGTATGCAGCGTCCTTGGGTCTAGGTGAGTGATCTGTGTCTCTTTGGTAAACTGCCTGTGCTGGGACCGCTAGGAAGCAGGGCCACGGATCCTGATGGGGGTCACTGCTCTCGCCACGTTCAGCTCATAGGGCCCACTTAGTACGGTGCTCGGTGCAGCTTCCCTAGTTGGAACGTTTCACGACTGCTCGGCCGAGCGCACGAGAGGCAGCAGTCCGTTTCGGAGCAGACGCGTCAGCGTGCATCGAATGTCAGTCTGATCCTGGGTGACAGTGACGGTGCATCTGCTTGAGAGACGTAATGACTGACGGGTGTAATCACGGATGAGTTCTCGCTGCGTGCACCTTTTCCAGTCTCTAAGTATAAGTTAAATACACCACCCACGTGTCACGTCCTTTATCGTTCTGCTGGCAACGCTTCGCTTAACGGTTCAGTTTCCCCGGGTTGCTTAAGCTTGGAGTAAGGGTCCCCCACACCTGTGGGGGAGGGTCCGCCGGACCCGGCCCAAGCTTGCGATGCAGCCAGACCCCAAGCCCCGGGGTCGGGTCAGCAGGGACCAGCCACCTTGCTCCTCCAGGAGTGGGTGTGAGCGGGCCCTAGACAGTCCTCTGGGTCACCTGCCTCTGAAAATCGTGTCTTGCTTGCCGCCACTGCTGCTAGCATGGCAGCGCCCTCCGCCTGGCTTCCTGTTTCTGGAATGGGCTGGTGTGAGCGGAGTCCCGCGAGATGCCGGGCTCGTCCTGAGCCTGCGGGACGCGGGGCCGGTTCCTCGTTACTCATCCGCACTCTTTCTTTGTGCTCTTTCTCCTTTCTCCTCCTTTAGACAAGCTGGCCAGCCCGCCGGCCTCGGCCGCAGCCTCCAGCCCTAGCTCCTCTCCATCTCCACAGCCCGTTTCAGAGCCCGACCTGTGCTCAGAGCCACACCAGCTCGCTTCCAAGGGTAACAGCAGTCTCGGAGAACTGCATGCTGTCTTGCAAGCCATCCTAAGCGCGAGGGGGAGCCAGTAGACCAGAGTGGCAGTAGCCGTAGCAGACAGTTTGCTAAGCCAGTGGGTCAGTTAAGCTGCTTCTCTTCGGTTCAACAGAGTCCTAACCTAACTAACTCTCAGTGTTAACGGAGGATTAGCAAGAACCGGGGAAGCACTCTGCTTGCTCTCCCTGAGTCCAGGGTCTGTCCCGACCTGTACTGCACCTGCCATGTGTGGGAAACGGCCCTGTGCACGGGAGGCCGCTTCCCCAGGGGTTTCTGCTGGTCCCGCCTACGGTCTGCATTGCTGGGGAACACCCCTGAGCGACTCACAGCTGCTCTGGGACCCGTGGCACATCCCTCATCCATCAAAATCGGGGCCTCAGCTGTCTTTGTATGATAAGGCTACTTTAAAATAAGGTGAATGCCCTGAGCTGTTGCCATGTGAATGGTATGGGCTTGACGACTGGCTTGTTAATGCTGGTCTGCATCACCTGTCTGCCCAGTGGCAGCACCTGGGAGCGTCTTTTGGCCTTTCCTGATCTTGTTTCACCGGAGGTCTGAAATCCACATGCATGGCCGTCGGAGGCAGAGCCCTGCCCTCACCCCTCCAGGGACCTGGTCCCAGTCGGCAGGGGCGTCTGTGGCGCAGCCACTGCTGGTCTGTCGCTGCCTGCGTCGCTCTGTGCCCTGCACAGATGCCAGTGCAGTGGGGTGCAGAGCAGTGATGTTCTTTCCCTGCTTGGTAATTACACCGGATGGTTCATCATTTTTAGTACCAGCAACATAAAATGGCTCGTAGGGCAAGGTGGCTCTAACTGCACTGGTGTGACAAAAAGCAGAGGGGACCAGGTTCTTGTCCCCGGCAGTCATAGTGTGAGCAAAAAGCAGTTGGGAGCTGTGTAGCTCAGGGAAGGCCATACTGAGAGAAGTGACAAGCCAGAGAAAGGGGTCTGGATGTATATCTGTCACAGAGGACACTTGCAGGTATCACTTTGAAGGCTGCTGCAGCTGGTCCTGGGAGTGCTTTGATCTGGTGACAGGGAATTTGTCACAGTCATTTATCTAGTTTCTGTCCCGTGTGGAAAACGAAACATCCAGTCTTCATTTGTGTTGGGCACCCCCACGTGCTCGTTACCTTGTGGTCAGGGCCCATCTTCTGTCTCAAACCTCTGTACACCCCTTTCTAGCCCCACGTGGCCAGCAGGCACTTGGAGGGGGGTCTGCTGTGCATAGCGCCCTGTCTTTCCTCCTCCTGCTTCAGAGGGCCCACAGGGAGGCCCGCTGGAGCGTTCGTCGTCTGCTGTGCTTGAGGCAGCCTGGAAGCCTTCATTTCCCTGTGATGAGCCTCGGCCCTCGGGAGCAGCACAGGCTGTTATTTCTCTCTGCTCAGCTTTTATTGCTTCATCCGTTTTGGTTTTATTGTGCCTTAAGCAAAAGTGACAGTGTTCTAGATTTTAACTTAAAAGGCAGACAACTGTTTTTTCTGGGTACTCTCAGACTGAGGTGGTTCTCGCCCGGCCTGAACCGGCACGAAATACGTTCCCAGATCAAGAATTCACCGGTGTCCTGGGGCCTCCAGACCTCCTGGGGGGTCAGAGCCTGAGGTTTTCAGAAAGCCGTTTCTAGGCTGCCTGTGAGGTGCTCATTTGTGGCCCGGTGTTTTTCCTTTGGTGTTCCCTAACGGGGAGCATGGGCTGAGCTGGCCTTGTCACCGCCAGGGGGCTCGGCCCAGGCGCAGAGTGGACCCCCTATTTTCTGTCCGACATGCCGGCCAGAAGTGAAATGTCTGCTGGGTGCGAGGCTCGCTCCTCCTCCCTGTCTTAAAGCCTCATCCTCTCCCCGACTCAGGAGCTGGTTTTCCATCTGCCCCCGTCGGCAAGAGCCCCATGGTGGAGCAGGCTGTCCAGACCGGTTCCCTCGATAACCTGAATGCCAGGAAGCCGTCGCCCGGCAAGGGCACAGTGGGGATGCAGCTCAACGGGCGCCCGACCCCGCCAGGCAGCAAGAGCGCCAGCGGTACTGACACGCTTGTGCCCCTGGGGTGTGCTCCCTGTCCTTGCTGGGCACCCTGCGTTCCGGGGGGCGTCTTTTTAAAAAACAGCCCAGCCCCCATTCTAAACGCCGCGACCTCCTGCAGAGCAGGCCCCGCCACGTGCCCCGCGCTGCCTTTCTGGCTCCGGCTTCCGCTCCCGCAGCTGCTTTCCTTAATCTTCCCTTTTGCGCCTTAGATGTAGCCCAGCCGGCCACAGTGCAAACCCAAGGGCAGGTGAACGACGAAAACAGAAGGCCCCAGAGGAGGAGATCAGGTAACAGCTGCCGCCACCTGTGCTCTGGGCCCGCGAGCCACCCCGGCGCGCTCTGCCTGCGCTGTGCCCGCTTCTGTCTGCGGCCGCTTCGGGATGCTCTGTCCCCTCTGTCACCCTGATGAACGTCGGCTGGAGGGCTCATCAGCCATGACTGTCGTTTCTCTCAGGGAATAGACGAACCAGGAATCGCTCCAGGGGGCAAAGCCGCCCAACTCACGTCAAGGAGAATACCATCAAGTTCGAAGGCGACTTTGATTTTGAGAGTGCAAACGCCCAGTTCAACCGTGAGGAGCTGGACAAGGAGTTTAAGAAGAAACTGAATTTTAAAGGTCTGACTCGTTCCTGGAAGGTGGTGGTTGTCCTCCCGAGCATTGTCCGTAGAATGGATCAGGGAGACGCTGGCACCATGGCGTGAGGGCGGGGCTGCTGACATGGTGGCCAGTGTCAGAGTGACAGTGCATTGGATGGCATGGCCCAGGGACAGGGCCAACAGGAGCCAGAAGCAGAGATGCCACTTAGCACAGAGCACTCTTGGCAGCATGTCACCAAGGCCTGAGGACAGCTGCGGAGCGGGCCTGCGAGGGCCTGCCTGGTAGAAAGTTGCTTTGTCTGCGGCCCAGCATCCTGGGGTGTTCTTCTCTGTGCAGATGACAAAGTGGAGAAAGGGGAGGAGAAGGACCCGACACTGGTGACCCAGAGTGACGAGGTGCCAGCCGAGGAGGACCACCTGGGGCCCAACTGCTACTACGACAAGTCCAAGTCCTTCTTCGACAATATCTCCTCTGAACTCAAGACCAGGTCGGAGGGCCCGGGGGGCGGCGAGGGAGACCCCGAGGGGCTGGCGGGAGATGCGCTCCGCCTCGGGGGTCCGAGCCCGGCGTGCTCCCGAAGATGCACTCACCTCAGCGCAGGCAGATCTTGTCAGCCCCTCTCACACTTGCCGTGATGCTTCCTGTCCCCAGCTGACCCTGGTGGCCTGAGGCCCTTGCTCCCTGAGGCAGCTTGTGAGAATGTTGTGTCCTGGGCCTTTTTTTCACCTGACTGCTTGGGGCTGGTGACCCCGTTGTGGGCTTTGTTTTTAGCACCAGTAGCTGGTGCTCCGGGGGTGTCCCCTGGACACGTTGGACAGTAAGAGAAACAGAACGAGTGGGGTAGACACTCGGATCTGTCCGTTCTGCAGACGGGGCCGGGCACACTGTGCCGGGTACTGAGGGTGCAGCAGAAACGAGCCAGGAGAGCCTACCCCCCATGCCTAGGCGTCCTGGCGGGGGGAGGTAGGTGGGGGAGGACACACGCCTTATAAGGTACCGATGCCCTGGGGAGAAGCACATGGGCGTGCGGGGCGGGGGTCAGGCAGGAGCGTGCTGAGGACTCCGAGCGTGAGCGAGTGAGGAGGCTTTCCCAGACAGCGGGGTCACCCTGAGCGCTGCAGGGTGCTGTCGGGCGTCTTGCCATGTCTTTAGTGAGCGCGGCCACGGGCCACCGCGGAGGTTTTCCCAGTGTTGCGGGGCGGGGTGGGAGGAAGCTTGGCTTCTGCACGTAGTTGATACGGAGGGGGTGGGGGTTGCTGGTGGGATGTGAGGTTGGCGGCAGACTTGGGCCATTGGCCAGGGGTTCCTGCTGTGTCTTTAGACCAGGTGGCTCTTTGGGGTGGCTTGGCAGCAGCTTGGCTGAGGATGTGGGGCCCATAAACAGATATGGGGTCCTCGGAGGAGGTACACGGGGGTGTTGGCAGCATACCGAGGTGGCACGAGGATGCTGGAACAGTGTAGGGTGCTGGTGCTCTGTCCCCACCACCCCTAAAACAAGCATATTCTTAGAGACCCTGTCCCCAACCCCCTTGTCATCCAGGAGAAGCTTGTTTGGACCGAGGGGACCATGATCTCCAGGTTTTGGAGCCCAGTGGGCACTGGGCTTGGCACACAGTGAAGGCTTCGTTTGGAGCGCATCAGGGTCACGTGCTTGCCTTCAGTGACAGAGCTGTGCGGGTTTTGTGCATAGCAGCCCATTCCTCAGGACAGGCCTGGTTGATGTGGCTGGGGACATTGGTAGTGTTGGGTCTCGTGCTGCAGAGTCCTGGCTGGGTCGCCCCTCTACTGGCTTCCAGTGACTGGAAGTTCCTCCTCCTGGCCCGGGAGGCTGGGAGTGGGTGCCCCAGCTGCCTGTCTCATGCCTCTTGTCTGGTTCAGTTCCAGGAGGACCACATGGGCCGAGGAGAGGAAGCTCAACACGGAGACCTTCGGGGTGTCGGGAAGGTTTCTCCGTGGCCGCGGTTTCCGGGGCGGATTGCGAGGGGGCAGGGGCACCGGTACGACCCGGCGCAACCCTACTTCCCACCGAGCTGGGACGGGCAGAGTGTGAGGGGGCAGCCAGAGGTGAGTGAGGGGATCCTCCAGGTCTTCTGTGGGGAGGACGCGGGATGGGAGCCTCATCAGGAGGAGCTGTGAGTCACGCTGTGAGCCGGGGAGTGGCCGGCTCTGGTGTGCAGTGAGAAGGGACGCCTCGAGGTTCAAGGCCAGGCCGAATCACCCAGTGAGCTCTTAGGGACGGCGGGCCCCAGGCCCAGCGCCGGCCAGTGGAACCCAGCCCTGGGGAGGGGCCCAGGCCACACTGGGTCGCTGGGTGCCGTCACTAGGGTAGGGGCGGGTCAAGAAGGAGAGCCTGTCACAAGCCGGGGTCGCACTGCCCGAATGAGGACCTGGGTGGTGTGTGTGCCCCCAAGGACCCCAGCCAAGAATGGGTTATGGTGTTGACCCGCCCCAGTCGGGTGAGTGGGAGCTGGAGCTGTGTCCTGATGGCTTTCACAGTGGCTCATGATGGGACTGTCTGGGTGTCTGGGAAGCTCTGGTCCAAGGGGGAAGGGAGGGGCAGGGTGAGCCGCTCCTGCTTGTTACTTAGGGCACAGTGCCTGGCTTGGGCTGGGGCGCTGCAGAACACCACGGGCCTCCCGCTTACTCGGTGTCTGTCCCCTTGCAGGCTCCTGCCGAAGCAGCGGAGACGAATCTGTGAGGGCCACGGAGGACGCCGCATTTACGGGAGACGCTGGGCCCCTCTGTTTACTGTTTGCAGAATTCCCACGTGCTACTTTTGTTCTGGACTTCACGCGACTTGGACGTGGTCTGAGTTGGAACCACTTGTTTTGGGGAAGTGTTTATGGGAAGCCTCTCCGGGGCATCAAGATCTTTTGTTCTTACTTGCACACAGTGTAATCTAAGGTTTTGGTATTTTGCAAAGAGGTTTCTAGAACGAAAGCTCGATTCTCATTTCGTGACTTTTTTTTGGCCGCTTTGACTTTGAAAGTGGAACCAAATCTCCTTGGGCAGTGTGGCAGCCGGGCGCGGCTCTGTAATCCAGCTGGCCCCTGGTGTTGCTGGCCTGGCACCCCCGTGCCAGGTGGGGTCTCAGGAGCCAGGCAGGGCCAGCACAGGGGTGAGGGGGTGGGTGGGTCTAGGACAGGGAAAGTGGGGTGTCCCGCAGATCATGTTGTAGAAGCAAACCAGGCGCCCTGGTGTCCAGATGGTGGTGTCAGTTTTGGGGGCCGGTAGGGTGGCAGGCTGGGGGTGCATAAGAGGGGCCCTTAACATGAGCGAGGAGCAGAGCGTTGCTCAGAGCCCATCTTCCATGGGAATTGGGATCAGGTGGGAGCCCAGGACAAGCCCCCTGGGGGTGTCCCCGTTGTTTCTGCCACATCCCTGCTAGCCCCTGACCTGGGTCAGCCACTGTTCAGTGTCTCAGCCACTTGGAAACAAGCCAGTCTTTCTTGCAAGGTCGGTTGACCGAGAGCATATTCCTGAGCTGTAAATAGTTGTGTTTTTGTTTTACGGGGGTGGAGGGAGGGTGGGAATTCTAATCCACGCTGCATGGGTAGGTGGGCCAGCCCTTCAGTGTAAGCATGCGTCCCTGACGGCATCGTGTTGAACACGAGCACCTTGGAGACTAAACCCCCTCGAGTAGCTGTAAGGTTTGGTTCTGTATTAAGTTACTGTAAAAGCTTGGGTTTATTTTTGTAGGACTTCCTGGCTAACTAAGAATTAGAACGTAGCAACGGGGCTGCTCTGTTGGAGTACTGTAAATTGTACTTATAAATAAACACACAAACCTTTAAAACTTTCCTCTCTGCTCTGAAAGTAAATAGTGCTGTTGACTCTGCCCAAATCCCACCATGCCCAGCACGGCTGCCCCAGGCGGGTGCCATCAGGCCCCGAGCTGGTCGGACTCGGGGGGACCTCTGGGGCTCTCGAAGCAGACGACCCCGGCTGGTCTGATTGAAGTGCAGGGCAGCGTTCGCTGGGGGCCGCCTCACGGAGCGAGCGGCTCTGCTCTCCGCACGCTTTGGACGTAAAATTCTACGAACTCGGTTCGCAGGTGAACCTGCTGCAGGTGAGGCCCCGTCTCCCCCGCTTGGCCTCTGAGCTCCCCGGAGCACCCGTGTTCTTGTTGCCTCAGCAGCTGCTACAGGGCGGACCCCAGGCCCATGTGGCAAACCAAAGATGGCTGGTTTCAGACGCGAAGCACCCACTCCCACTGAAATGGGTTTCTGGGCAACTAGAAGCCCCCCCAGCCAGCTCCCTTCTGCCTGTCTGCGATTGTGGGGCCCAGAGCAGGACCCACTGGCGGGCGGTTGGCCTTTTAAAGTCTGGGCCTGGCTGTCAGTTTCAGGATTTGAACAGTCTTGGCCACCTTCCTTTTTATTGGCAGTTACTGTCTTTGACCCATAGAAGGAGCCCTCCCATAGTGTCCATGATGCACGCAGCCAGAGCGGACGGTCTAAACCCCGGGCAACTCTGCAGTTGGTCTAAACAAGTATTGCCTCCGCTGAGATTCTAAGTAGTCAAGGCATAGTTACCACCTATGACTGACCTCGCTCTTAAAGTCTTAAATGGAAAACTTTTTGACAATTACACATTTTACGCCATGCTTAGGTATCGGCCTCTGGACCCCCTTTTAGAAGTGGGTACGTAGGTGCTGTTAACTGAGAACCCGGAATAGAGGCTGGAGACCGAGGAGGAAGGCCCAGAATCGTGGCGTGGTTCTGAGGGAACTGGCCCAGGACCCAGGGCCACCGCCGCACCAGCCCGCCAGCTGGGCCTCGTGCGAAGCAGCAGAGATGGTTTATAGGACCCTTCCACAGGCAGCCTTCTAGCTAAACGGTGAGAGCCCGGATCAGCCAGCGCCAGAAGTTACGGGAGACAGAAAACATGAGAACTGTTAAGACTTCGCCTACGCAGCCCAGAAACAGAGCTGTGACCGCGGCTGCAGGGTTTCCAGTCCGTGCTGTCGATGCCGTGTCCTGCGTCTCTGCGTCCGCTGGTCTCCAGCAGCACCCGTGCACTTGGACTCCAAGCCGCGGGACCCCGCACACTGTCGTCTTGGAGCCTGGCAACAGGAACGGGGGGAAAACACCACTAAGGAGAACAGGCAGAGATGAGCAGAGAGGAAGACTCCATTTCCTCAACAGCTGCCATTACCCCCAAAAGACACACATTCTCTAAAAAAAGGTTAAAAAACAAGTTTATTGCGGGACGCCTGGGTGCACTGATGAGCGGAATGGAAATGCCTTGTGTAGAATCCTCCATGATTTGCATTAAAAACCGGCCGGCGAGGCCATCACGACGCTTTCTTCTGTTTCTTCTTTTCGTTTTCTTCTTTTTCTTTTTCAATTTCAGCCACATATTTCTCAATTTCCTCAGGATTTAAAATCTACCAGAGAGAGTTCAAGGTTAGCCTCCAAGCCAGGTGAGCAGCCCGAGGGGCGCTCCTTGGCAGGTGATCACCAGAAGGTAGAAGCAACCCCACAGCTGGGGACAGCTCTTTGGGGGGCCAAGGGGACAGAGGCCGGTCTGCGGGGAGCCTTCAAAGAACCACGCACCTGGTGCCAAGGCCGCAGCAGCCAGCCCAGAGCTTGTACGCCCCCCCCTGCCCCCGCCGTGGATTCCTGCAGAGGCCACCGCGGGCGCGGCCAGTACCTTGAGGGGCTGGTCTCGCCTCATGATCGCCAGCTCAATGTTTTTGCCACCGGACTGAACCACCTTAGGGGGAGAGAAAAGCATCAGACACTGTTTCCCAGCTTGAGACCAAGAAGCTCTGCCAAGTGCCCTGAGCAGTGGCACGGCCCTGAACCCAGCACTGGCACACGCTCGAGTGCGAGCACCCAGAGCTCTGGGATAGCTGTGCTCCGTCCTGTCACCTCTTGGCATTCAGACTTGAGCTGGGTCCCCTGTCCTTCCTCCTGCAGAGCAGCTGTGCCCTGCCTGCCCCTCTGTGCGCGGGCTTTCCGGCGATCTGCACTGTCCACTAGGCCCTCTGCCTCTGGCGTCGCCTGCCAGCACTTCCAAGGTCTTGATCAAGCCCAGGTCACCCCACCCTTGCCCCTGGTGCTTCTCATTCCTGACCAGCAGCAGCTTGAGGATCGGGAGGGCTAGGGGTGGCTGTGAGCGGGGCTCCTGGGCAAGTGCCCAAGCCCTTTGCTGCCCTAGCTGCCCGGCCGTGTGCCTGCACGGACAGCGAAGTGGAGACGCCCTCGCCGCCTCCTTCCTTGTTGCCCAGTTCTGTGTCACCCACTCTACCCAGCCCTAGGAATGCCACTCCAGCTGGGCATCTTCACTGTCTTCTCCAGGTTTCAAAGGCGGGCTTACTTCCAGGAGGGCCCTGATGACCAGCTTAATGGTCAGGTCGTCCGTCTCAATGGCTTCGTCGGTATAATTCTTCTCTAGAAATTCACGCACTGACTTGGCACCCCGGCCTATGGCGTTGGCCTGAAAGAGAGGTGTTGCATGACATGGCGTGTGACAATCCAGAGCCAACCCAAGAACACGGACACCCTGTGTGGGCTAGCCAGTGGCTGCCCACTCCCTGTCCCAGGTGCTGTGGTGAGCAGCGTGGTGGGAGGTGGCCTGGGCCCCGGGCCCTGCCCTGCACCTCCTGTTCACAGGGGGCTCTTTGGAGCCGGGCGGATTCTTGCCAAGAACTCCGCTCTGCTCCCGCCGCATTGCTCAGAACACACGGCCGTTTACGTGATGCCGCGTATCCTTACACCTCG